TGATCTGCTTGCCTCCATTGAAGCGGCAATCTTGGCTGCTTTGGAATAACTTTTTAATAAGTGTGGTTGGCTCAGGTCTCTCCTCTCTCCAATCCATCCTCCACACAGTTGCCAGATTGATTTTGCTAAAGCCCTCAAGAGGAAGTAGCATGAATGTTAACAAGCATCCTGGGAAATGTAATTTAGTGTATCTATAGAACTATGACATGATTTAAACAGGGCAAAATTATACTAGCCCCAAGAGAGCTGTGCATGACAATCTGCAACAGGAGTAAGAGAAAACAGTAATAAAAGTGCAGAATCAGAGGTAGTAGAGGATTGTATTAAGTGCACCCAGTTCTCACCAGAGCAGAGTCTTTGTCCCTTCATGGTAGACAGGATAAAACTATCACAGTGGGAGACAAGTCCAATTTTCAATTGACTGTTCTCTAGCCTAAAATCCATATGGCTGGATTTCCTTTCACTTTATACTCCCATCTATCTGATGGGACAGAGATTTAAATGTGAGGTTTCCTGTTTTTGTTTTAAGCTGCTCTTTACAGTCTCATTAGTATTTTAAGTCTAGCTGATTAATGCATGTATATATTTAATTACACGGATAGAGTTCAAAGGGGCTAGGAAGTTTTGTTTCTATCTTTGGGAACATACACTAGTCACTGGTTAACTGTTTGAGGATGGAGATAGAGCTTTTTTTTTTGTATTTCATTAGAAATTGTGCTGTGTCCTGACCTTTCCATCTCCTACTCAAGCATTGTGTCCCCTAAGAAAACGTTGCTTGGGGCCAGGCTGGGCATCCTCTATCTGCCCCAAGCAAACCATTTCACCTGTACCAACACAAAGTATCTACCACCTCCTGCTTGCAACTCAATCTCCCTACAGGGATACAGAGAACTTTAGGTGCAAGGAAGAACAACCCTCCTTTCAATTTCAGGTCTCCCATCTCCTGATATACCTGTCTTTTGAGGGTAGAGGAGTGGCACTCTCCATTCAATGATGAACATTCTGACACCTGATTATACCCTTTACATCCCAGTGACTATGAACCAAACGCCACTCCATACCTCCTATCACCCTATTCCTCATTCTTAATCCCCCTCCAACCTCCCACTCCTAAGTTTCATTATAAATCCACCCAGCCCCTCCACTGTGACTTCTGGAATGCCTGTACCACATAGGCAACAAATTTCCCTTAATCTTAAAATTAATCCTCTCCTACTCCTTTTGTCTACTAGCTCTTACTGAAAACTAGATTTCCCCAGATGACACAGCCTCCCTGGTCACCCTTTCCAAAAGTGGCTGCACCTTCACTCATTCTCATTGGTTCACTGGTGGAAGCAGGAAGAGTTGGAATACTCATTGCTCCCCATTGCCACTTCCAGGTTCTCTTCCTTCCTCTATCCCTCAGTAACCTCTCTTTCTTTGAGGTTTGTGCTATTCACATCTACCACTCAATCAAAATCCTAGTAGCTATAGGTATCTATAGCCTATCTATAGCTGTAGGTATCTATAGGCCTTTAGGCCATTCCCCTTTTTTTCTCAATGATTACAATATCTGACTTACAATTTTTCTTTCCTTCCCAACAGCTGCTGTCAAATTGGGAGACCTCAATATACAAATTGATTCTCCCTCAAATACCCTAACCACACAGTTCTTCATTCTACTTACTTTCCATGAGCTACTCCTCCATCTCACCTTAGCCACACACAAAGATATCCTTGATCTTGCCATCACTCAGAAATGTACCACAAATTTACAAATGTAAATATTCAAGAATTTTTATATCTCCTTATCCAACTATAATCTGTTGGCTTTTCACCTCTCCCTTTGCATTATCTTATATAACCCTACTCTATCTGCACCATGACCTCCAGTTCTTTGACCCCTCAACTCTCTTTAAGGCCATCTCCCCTACATAAGCCACTCTCTCCTCTTCTCTGTACATTAACTCCCTTTTGAACTAATTCTACTCCTCACTGTCCTCCTCTCTTGATTCCCTACTCCCCTTATCAAATTACCAATTATGCCCAGCCAAACCTCAGCCTTGGATCACTCTTACCATTTATCTCCTTCACACCCACACATGTACTGGATGGAGATGGAGAAAATCACACAACAATTCTGACTGGATTCACTACAAATTTATGTCACATAACCTAAAGCAAACTCTCACTACTGCTAGGTAATCCAACTATACTTGTCTTATCAATTCTCTATCCCATTGTCCACAGTAGCCCTTCCAAACTTTTTTTTTTATCATTCCTCAAACCTCCCAAGGCTCCCTTCTCAGCTGAGAACCTTGCTTCATATTTTACAGAAAAGATAGAGGACATTTGTGCTAAGTTCTTTTTCTCCCTCTCTTTCTCATCTTCTATCACTCCAGTGTCTTCTGCCACTTTCTCCTACTTCACCCCTGTTTCACATGATGAAGTAAGCCTTACTCCTTACCAAGGCTAACCCCTCCACTAATTCAAGTGATCTCATTCCATCCCATCTCCTCTAAGAGATTGCCCTCCTCTGTGATTCCTCACTCTTTTACTTATTTTCAATCTTTCCATCTCTACTGGCTCATTTCCTACTGCCCATGTCTCTCCTATCCTGAAAAAAACCCTCACTTAATGATTCCATCCCCATTAACTATAATCCCATATCTCTTCTGTCCTTTATAGCTAAACTCTTCAAAAAGGCAATCTACTCTAGGTGCTTCTACTTTTTCTCTATTACTCAATATTCTCTCCTCCTTAGGAGGGAATAACATACACACTCAATTGGGTATGGAAATCTGTCTTACCCTACAGGAAAATGGGGGGGGGAGGGGACAAGAGAGTAGGGAGATGATAGAGAGGAGGGCAGATTGGGAAAGGGGGTAATCAGAAGCAAGTACTTCTGAGGAGGGTAAGAGTCAAAAGAAAGAATAGAATAAATGGGGAGGTGGGATAGGATTAAGGGAAATAGAGTTAGTTTTTCACAGCCTGTCTACTATGGAAGTGTTTTGCATAACTGCACATATATAACCTATATTTAGTTGCTTCCCTTATCAATGAGGGTTGATGGGGAGGGAGGAAGGGAGAAAATTTGGAACCCAAAGTTTTAAAAACACATGTTTAAAAAAAAGTTTTCATATGCAACTGGGGAATAAGAAATACAAGAAACGGGATACGGAAATCCATCCTGCCCTACAGGAAAATTGAAGGGGAAGGAGATAAGAGAAGAGGGGGAGAGATAGAAAGGAAGGCAGACTAGGGGAAGGGGTATTCAGAATGCATGCCATCTTGGGGTGGGGGAGGAGCGAAATGGGGTGAAAATTTGGAACTCCAAATCTTGTGGAAGTAAATGTCGCAAACAAAAAAATAAATAAAAATTATCAAAAAAAAATACTCTCTCCTCCTTAACATTCTCTTTTCTCTAGGTTTGCAGGACACCACTCTCCCCTGGTTTTCCTCTTATCTATCTGACCACTCCTCCTCTGTCTCCTTTGCTAAATCCTCTTCCAAATCACACCTTGTAACAGTAGGCATCCCTCAAATCTCTACCCTGGGCCCTTTTCTCTTAACATTCTATACTACTTCATTTGGTAATCTCACCAGCTCCCATGGATTTAATTACTATCTCTATACTGATGATTCTCAATTTTACCTACCCTGCCTCAATATCTACTGAGTTTCAATCTCGTATCTCCAGTTGTCTTTCAGATATCTCAAATTAGATATCCAATAGACATCTTAAACTCAGTATGTCCAAAACAGAACTTAGTATCTTTCCCCCCAAACACACCCCTCCTACCTTCCCTATTAGAAGACAACACCATCTTCCTGGACTCTCAGGTTCACCCAAGGCCTATCAATTTCACCTTTGCAACATCTCTGGAATATGCTCCTTTCTCTCCTCTAACACTGTCACCACTCTAGAACAGGCTCTCATCACCTCATGTCTTGATTACTGTAATAACCTGCTGGTGAGTCTGCTTGCTTCACATCTTTCCTTGCTCCAATTCATTCTCCATTCAAACACTAATGTGAAGCTATTCTTGAGCTCAAAGATCACTGCAGATGGTGACTGCAGCCATGACATTAAAAGATACTTGCTCTGTGGAAGGAAAACTATGGCAAATCTGGACAGCGTACTAAAAAGCAGAGACATCACCTTGTCGACAAAGGTCTGTATGGTCAAAGCTAAGGTTTTTCCAGTAGCGATGTAAGGCTGTGAAAATTGGACTGTAAGGAAAACTGAGCACCAGTCAAATACTGAATCTAAAGCATAAACAACTTTGGCCACATAATGAGAAAGGAGAACTCATTAGAAAAGACCTTAATGTTGGGAAAGATTAAGACAAAAGGAAAAGGGGATGGCAGAGGATGAGATGGATAGATACTATCCTAGAAACAATGAATATGAACTTGGACAGACTTTGAGAGATAGTGAAGGAGTCATGTCTGACTGAACAACATGTCCCTATCAAGTTGATTCCTGTCTCTGGGCCTCAGTTTTTTCATCATAAAATTAAGAAGTTGGACTAGATGGCATCTAAAGTCTCTCAGCTTCAAATCTATCATCCTCTGAAATTAACTGGAGAGATATTCACTGCTCATGGTTGAGCTGTGCCAGTAGAACTACATAAAACTGTATACAATCTTTATAAGAACAAAATGTCTAGGCAAATGAGAAAAAGTACTAATGAAAGCAGGTATCATAGTGTTGTTATTGTTGTTGCTCAGTCATGTTTGTGACCTCATTTGGGGTTTTCCTTGGCAAAGATATTGGAGTGGTTTGCCATTTCCTTTTCCAGCTCATTTTATAGAGGAGGAACTGAGGCAAACAAGGTTAAGTGACTTCCCCAGGGTCACACAGCTACTGAGTGTCTGGGCCTGATTTGAATTCAAGAAGATGAATCTTCCTGACTTCAGGCCTGGCATTCTATGTACTGTAACACCTAGCTGCCCTCATAGCATTATACCAGACCTCAGACTACATTATGAAACAATAATAATCAAGACTATTTGGGTAAAAAAGAAAGGTTATTTATGTAACCCTTGTCTCAAAACCCATTGGTATTAAACTTTCTCCTTATTGATGGCGCTGCCTGTCATGCAGTTGGTGAGAGGAGAGAGAGCTTCAATCTTGGCCGGTCCCTTTTGAGATTCTTCAAGCAGTGAGTTGCTTCAGTGATTCTGGCTTCCAGCTTTTAGAGTGAAGATGGAAAAGGCAAACTCCACTTCAGATTGCTGAAGAAAAAAGAATCTGGAAGACATGAGAGGAGATGGCAATCTCCATCAGCTTGATACTCTAGAGACTTTGGGGGAGCTTCGCCCTTCAGTGAGATTGAGCTGAGTTATCTTGCCTCCATGGAAGACCTTCACTCTGTCTCATCTAATGTGTATTCTCCCTTCTCTGATTTCTGTTTTGCTATAATTTAGATAAAAAGTTTTCTTTGGTATTCGCTATGTGTGTTCGTTGTGGAACTGATATTTGGTAGCAGAGAGGTCAAGCTTTGGATATAGAGCCTGAGGTTGCCATTCCCCCTAATAATAATGAGACAAAGCTATTAGAAGTTAGATTGAATCTAATCATATCTCACTAGACTATTAATATTTAAGAAAGCAGGTAGATATAATCTTAGCCTGACAACCTGTCTTTCTGGCAAAGCAGCCTCCAGTCCCAATTTCCTGCTTCCTTGCTGACTGAAACAAAACTCTTCCTTGGAGAATGGTGGGGGGAAAAGAGGGCTAGAGATGTCTATTCTGCCTCCCTTCAAGACACACAGTGATAGGCCTGGCCACAGGTGGGCTTCTCATTACATGTAGGGTTATTAACTCTACATTTACTTAGTAAATACTCCTAAGTCAAAGCTAAATCTGACTGACTATCTGGTAATCAATGGGGAGCACACTCAATATGGGCTGATGAATACAAGAAAACCACTCCAACTCTTAGGACTCTGAGAAATAGAAGTAGTTAACCATCCTCTGGGGGCCTTAACTAACAATCTAAGGGGAAGCTGGGAAGTGAACCTAGCATTAATGCTGCATAAAGATTAAAATAGAGGACAAAGCAGATACTTTTTAATTGTGTAATAGCTAAATAAACTATGGTACATGAAAATAATGGAATTTTACTGGGCTCTAAGAAACAACGATCACAAAAAATATAGAGAAGCATGAAAAAACATGAATTGATGCAACGTGAAGAAAGCAGAGCCAGGAAAACATTATACCCAATATTACAATAATTTAAGTGGAAAGAATAACAACCACAAAATAATTAAAAATGAATGTTACGAAATTATATGAAAATAACCTTGGCCCCAAAGCAGTGCTATGAAAAGACTTCTTTGTATAGGTGTGAGATCCATAGGTGTGGAACATTGCATGCAATGTCAGGGTTTTTTCAATGCATGGATTAGTTCTGCTGAATTTTTTCTCCTCTTCCTCCTTTCCTTTCCTTTTTTTATGTAGAAAAAGGAGAGAGACAGACAGACAGAGAGACATACAGAGACTTCCTTATTCTAGGAATCTGAAAAGTTTAATCATCAGATTATCAGGAGCTAATCTGGAACTGGAGCTCTTAGGACAAAATGAGAGAGAAGCACTAGACTGTTCAAGCCTTGTATATGAATTTGGGATTCAGTTACTCATAGAAACAAACCACAAGCTGATGAAAGCACAGATTGTGAGGGAAAATGTGGATAAGTATAGTTTCATATTTGAACTGCAAATAGCCATTCTTGGAGAGGCATATTTGAAAGAAAAACCACTCCCATGAGGGAGGAGGATGCTGAAAGGTTGCCATGTTTGGCTTTTTCTAAATAGTTTTCCCCCATTTCCCCCAAAATATCATACCCCCTCATCCTCCCAGAAGTCCAACCTTTATTAAAAATATGTAGTTATTGTTAGAGGACCTGAATCCCATAGGTGCTATTTACTATTTTTGTGACCTTGTACACATCATTTAAACTCTTAGGAACTCTGTTTCTTCATCTGAAAAATAAGGGGGTTGGACCAGATATTCTCTAATGTCCCTTAAAGCTCTAATTTCTATAATACCATGACTTAGAAAAACAAGGAGGAAGACAGAAGGAATAGCATGTGGGCAAAAACAGAAATAAGCATGAACTCCTGGAGGATGAGTGAGACAGATTGGCTGAAACAAAAGGTTCAGTACTGAGTGATAAAGTTGGAAAGGTTGGTCTGGGCTAAATTTTGGAAAGCTTTGAATGCCCAGCTAAGTAACATGGATTTTATTCTATAAAATACTATCACATCATTTCCTAAGGGGAGATTTTGTTAAGCAACTGAAGGAATGACAGTAAAGAAGTAAGAAGAGTGGGAAAAGAGTGCAGAAAGGGAAGGCTGGGGACTTCAAAGACAAAATCTATCTACTTCAGGGGCAGCTAGGTGGCGTAGTGGATAGAGCACTGGACCTGAGTTCAAATCCGGCCTCAGACCAAACATTTGACACTCACTAGCTATGTGACCCTGGACAAGTCACTTAACCCCAATTGCCTAAAAAAAAAAAATCTATCTACTTCATAGTGTTCCTGAGGTTCAGCTCTATTCCTAGGGATTTAGCAATTGTTTTGCCCAGAATCTTCAGGTATATACCCTCCTACTCAAAGACCAAAGCCTCATAAATAAAATTAGTTCATATTTACCTTAGCAGGAAAGTTCACAAACATCTTTGAAGATAATAGAAGAAATGAGGAGATACATTTACCTAGCTGGTCAGTATTTCAAAGCTAAAAATAGGCCTTTTTTGTAAATTCTTTGATTGTGCAATTCCTTAAACCAATCCTTCAAGAACAGGAACGAATGAGCAGTGCTTAGAGGTAAACATTCCATCTGGTTGAAACCAGAATTTCCTTTATGGGGGGAAGGAAAAGAAGAAAGAGGGAGGATTTTGTTCCCTTCCCCCATCCCAGTTTAGTTTATGTAAACATAGAAAATAAAAGGCAGATAGCAGAAGTGGTAAGAAAAAAAAAAAAAGCAAAATGGTTATAACTTTAGTAAGTGTGATGGATTTCTCCTTGAATGGATTTTAAAAGGAAGCTAGCCTTTTAATCACACTCATCACACTCCCTGGGGCCATCAAAAAATGTTAAGCCTATAAGCCCAAGAGAGAAAGGCTCTGGAAACCACTTATCAATTCTCTTGCTACTGCTACAATCTCTACCCCACTACCACTGCCCTCACTTTACAATTCTGAAGGAAAAAGTCTCAACTTTGTCCCCTTCTTAACTCTGTATGGAGGAGGTAAAAGTACACAAAGCTAGAAGCTTGCTTTGCCTGGGGCAGCAGTATGTTTGCTGTGTCATATAGTAATGCTCAGCCAGAGAACTAAGGAAAAGAGGGAATGGGGGTACTGTGGGTATATATATGGTTTATTGAGGCCTAAAAAAAGGGACTTGCATCCAGCTGAGGCCAGTTTCATTGCCTCAGTAATGGACTTGGGGCACAGACTGAGGCTTGTGGAAGATGAATTCCTCAGCATGGGAAGAGACTGAGATAGCTTTTATAGTCTAGCCCCTGAGGAAACTACCATCAAAGGGAAAGGAGTCAGAAAGTGAATCATAGGGAAACATAAAAGAAAAAAAAAACACTGAAGTTGTCAAAGATCTCAGGAGGGAAAATTGAAAATTAGAACCAATGGGAGGGACCACAAAAAAGAAGAAACAAAACAGAAGAAAATAAAAGAGCAAATAGTATACTTCAATCTGTATTCAGTCTCCATAGTTCTTTCTCTGGATGTGGATAACATTTTCCATCATGAGACTTTTGGAGATATCTTAGATCCTTGCATTGCTGAGAAGAGCTAAGTCTATCAAAGTTAGTCATTATACAATGTGGCTAACTTGGAGAGAAAGTTGAACCAACATGTGGTTGGCAACAGTGGAGCAGAAAAGGAGTAAGCAGCTTTCAAAGATTTGGTGTACAGTACTGCATTTACTCATCTGGGCCATTATACTTGCAAATATCAAGACTAATTTGATGAAAATGATGGGGAAATTCAGAAGTTGCTAAGTGAAAATTGAGAACTTCACAGGTTTTAACAGCAGGATAGTTTGTTTCTAAGAAAGAAGCATTTAACTCCACCAAAAGTACAGTGCAAGAAAAGCTTAGAGAGATACAGGATTCTTGGCTCAGTAAGAAGGCAGAGGAAATTCAGTTTTACATTGATAGTAACAATCCAAAGCATTTTTACGATGCTCTGGAGGCTTTTTATAGGCCACAGACTTATGGTACATCTCAACCACTCAGCACTGATGATGATAAGGACATAATACTCGAGGGATGGACTGAACACTTCCATAGTGCTCTCAACACACCATCATCAACTAATGCTGAAGCCATTGACAGTATACCTCAGGTTGAAGTCAATTCTTCTCTAGTCAAACAACCAACTGAAAAGAGGTTTGAATGGCGTTAGGTTCTTCTCATGTGACAAAGCACCTTATGCTGATCCTATTCCAGAAGGAATTTACAAAGCAGAGCATCCACTGCTTATACAAAAGCTGACCAAATCTTCCAGGTTATGTGACAAGAGGAGGTTCAAGGGGCTCAAGGATGCCTGCATTGTCCATCTCTATAATGGTAAAGAAAATAGATTATCCTATGACAATCACAGAGGGGTCTTTCTCTTGTTAGCAAGATTATTTTTTGTAATCCTTTTTTATTTTAGAATTGAATACTAAAACTGAAATACATAATAAGCAAAGAAAAAAAACATAAACTTAAATATTAAAATTTAAATATAAAATAAAAGGAAAAAATGTTATGTGCACAGCAGAATGTGAGAGAGGATTCAAAATATACAACAATAAATTTCCATTTCAAGAAAGCCTATATATTAAGCACTATGCATAGTGTTGAAAGCTGTCCATCTTTTCTTTGCTTCCTTGTAGGTTTCTTTTTTTTATTTTCTTCTTTGCTGTACACTTTTTACTTTGTTCTTTTTTTCCCCTTCCTCCCCTCCTCCCACCCTCTGGAGTCTACAATTAAGTGTGGATATATTTATATAGAGAGATTTATATATACATACATATACATACATACATTCATACATACATACATATGTATTTGAACATATACTTTCCCTAAGAGATTCTACTCCTAATCTTTGTTTTTATATTTGTGCATATCTCTTATTTCCTATCCATCCTGACTCCTCTACTTTACTTTTACCTGCTACCTTGTCCTCCTATTACTTAGCCTACCCCCTACCAAAGATCCCTCCCTTATCTTCCCATTCCCATAAATCTAAACACCCTTTTATATGCCCCTTCTTCACCCTCCCCTCTAAAAATTCCTCCTTTATCCTCCCTAGGATCCCTCCCTTATCCTCCCATTCCCATTAATCTAAATCCCCTTCCATATGCCCCTTTAACCTAGTCCCTCACGCTCCCCTCTAAAGATCCCTTCTTATCCCCTTAGCCTCCATGTCTCCTTAGCATTTTATTTCTTTCTAAATTTAGAAAACTTTTATTTAACCCATTCCTGATGAAAGTAAGTTTCCAGAACTACCAGCCCTTCTCCCCTATCTAATTCCTGTATTGGGTCTTCCTCTCACACTTCATTTGTATAAGATAATTACTCTTTTAAGGGTTCCTGAATGGTTTTACTTTTTGAAGTCATATCATATTCAGGTCTACCCCAATCTTTCTTATGAACTACCCAATTACTAATAACAACCTTAGACATACATTTTATATTTTATATACATAAAGTCTGTCCTTATTGAGTCCCTTATAATTGGTCTTTGGTATGTATCTTATGTTTCTCTTGGCTCTTGTATGTCAAATCTTCTATTAAGTTCAGGGTTGTTGGGTTTGTTTATTTTTTTTTAACGAAGTCCTGAAAGTCTGACAATTCACTAAATGTCCTTTTTTTTTCATTCAGGATTATGCTTAGCTTTGCTGGGCATGAGATTTTTGGCCGGAACCCCAGTTTGTTTGCTCTTCAATATATAGTGTTCCAAGACCTACGATCCTTTAGCGTCACCACTGCTACATCTTGTGTGACTGTAATTGTGACACTGCCATATCTAAATTGCTTTTTTCTTGTTGCTTGTAATATTTTTTCCTTGAGCTGGGGGGGGAGTGGGTTTCGGCATTTGACTATAATATTCTTGTGGGTTTTCTTCATAGGATCTCTTTCAGGTGATGATTGGTGGATTTTTTCTATTTCTACTTTCCTCTCTTGTTCTAATGCTACAAGACAATTTTCTTTAATTATTTCTTGTATAATTGTATCAAGATTCATTTTTTGCTCATAGCTTTCAGGTGGTCTGATTATTTTTGTTTTGTCCTTTTCTTTTCTTTTCTTTTTATTAATTTATTTTGATTTATCAACAATCACTTCCATAAGCTTTGAGTTTTAAATTTTTCTCTCCCTCCCTCCCCACCTCCCTCCCCAAGATGGCACACAATCTGATATAGGCTATACATATGCATTCCTATTAAACATATTTTCACATTAGTCATGTTGTAAAGAAGAATTAGAACCAATAAAAGAAACCATAAGAAAGAGGAAACAAAACAAAACAGAAAAAAAAATAGCAAATAGTATGCTTCAATCTGCATTCAAACTCCATACCTCTTTCTTTGGATGTGGATAGCATTATTTTGTCCTCTTGATCTGTTCCCCAGATCAGTTGTTTTTCTTATAAGATGTTTACATTCTTTTCTAATTTTTCATTCTTTATATTTTGTTTTATTCTTTCTTGGAACCTTATGACTTCACTGGCTTCCTTTAGCTCAGTTTTGATTTTCAAGGAGTGGTTTTCTTCCTTAAGATTCTAGATCTCCTTTTCTAATTGGTTGACTCTCTTTTCATAATCTTATTTTTCTTGAATTGTTCTTTTTTTTTTTAGTTTTTCCTCAATCTCTCTCATTTGATTTTTAAAGTCTTTTTTTAAATTCATCTATGAATTCTTTTTGGATTACTCTTTGGGGTAGAAGAGGGTTTCTTTGCCTCACTATCCTCCTCTGAAAATGAAACTGGTCTTCTCTATTTCCATAGTAGCTCTCTATGGTTGGATTCTTTCTCCTTTGCCTGTGCATTTTTTTTTTTGTAATCACCTCTAGGCCTGGGGGTATGGGGAAGGGAGTTTTCTCTGATCTTGAACGCAAACCAAGACCTTCAGCCTCCTGTAAGTGCTCATAGCCAGTGGTGTCCCTGCCCCCCTGCTTCTGCACTCACTCAGTGTGTGCTGGTTCCTTCTTGCCTGGCCAGCACAGCTGTGTCTGGCATTCCTTGTCAGCAGAGGTCCCTCGATTTTCCCCAACTCCTCTCACTGACCCCAGGGGTAAAAGTTCCTGTGGCTGGGGCTGAGGCAGCCTCCCAACCCAGCTAACCCCAGGGCTTGTGGCTTCTTGTTTAAGGGGTTACTAGCCTGGAGGTGTTTACTCTGCACAGAGACCTTATCTGGGAATTTTTCTTCAGATCTTCTCAGATTGTCCCTTGAGGACCCCTGTTCTGCCCCTTTTCTTGTTTATTTTTACCACTCTATGTTTGCCCCGAGGAGCTGATTTATCTTTTTTGTGGAGTAAAATCTTGAGAGCTTGGAATTTTCTGACCTATTCTGCCATCTTCCCAGAATCCTCCCCACAAACAAGATTCTTGCTAGAGTCCTACTTGATAGGCTGATCCTTCACCTGGAAGATGGTCATCTACCCAAGAGCCAGTGTGGGTTCAAAAAGGACTAAGGAACAGTCAATATTGCTACCAAACAACTCCAGGAGAAATGCCAGGAGCAAAACAGAGCCCAATGTTTATTGATCTGACCAAGGCTTTTGATACTATCAGTCATGAGGGCTTGTGGAAAATCACTGCAAAATTTGGTTACCTACAGAAGTTCATCAGTATTGTATGTCAGTTCCATGATGGCATGTTTGTATGGGTTCTGGATAATGGATGGTGCTCTCTTGCTTTTCCAGTCACCAATGGAGTGATGCAGAGCTGTGTGCTTGCTCCCATGCTTTTTAATATGATGTTTTTTGTGATGTTCAATGAGACAAAAATGGCAACATGGTCAACTACTGCACTAATTGTAAATTATTTAATTCAAAAAGGCTACAAAACCAAGACTAACATGGATGGAGAGTTGGTATGCAAATTTTTGTTCACACATGATTTTGCACTCAAAACAGACTTGAAGGCTGACATGTAACAGAGTACAGATCAATTCTCTGCCACTTATGCTAATTTTGGCCTGACAATTAACATCAAGAAGACAGAGGTTCTTTATCAGAGAACCAGCACTACACCATCCATATATGGAACCACTGGTTATAACAAACAGAGAAATTTTGAATATTGTGGATAAATTCACTTACCTTGACAGTACACTTTCCAGGGATGTAGACAGATGATGAGGTTGACATATACATTGCCAGAGCTAGCTTAGTGTTTGGGAGGCTCCAAAGGAAAGTGTGGGAGAGAAGAGGTATTAGACTCCATACCAAACTGAAAGTCCACAAAGCCATTGTACTGACCTCATTAGTGTATGCCTGTGAAACCTGGACAGAATACTAAAGCCATGCCAGGAAACTGAATTGTTGCCATTTGAATTGTTTTAGGAAGATTCTAAGGATCACCTATCAAGAGAAGGTGCTGGACACTGAAGTCTTTTCTTGAGTTGAACTGCCAAGCATTCAAACTCTACTGCAGAGAGCACAATTCCAATGGGCTGGCCATATTATTCAAATGTCAAACATTTATTTGCCTTAAAGACTATTTCACAGAGAACTCACGCAAGATAAATACTCACATGGAGGTCAGATGAAGCAATACAAGGACACTCTCAACATCTCTCTGAAGAACTTTGGAGTTGATGTGAGACATGGGAGACACTGGCACAGGACCACCCAGCATGTATGCCTGCATCAAAGAAGGCATTGTGCTCTATGAGCAAAGCAGAATTGCCAGTAGCTCAAAATAAACATGAAATGGCAAATTTAGAGACATCTCCACTCCAAATGTTCAATGGACTATTTGTATCTGACCTGTGGTAGAGCCATCCGATACGTCTGACAGCAAGAGTCAGACACTTGGTACCTTGAACCCATCATAGTGATGTCATTTTGGTCCTCTTCGAGCGTGAAGGACAAGAACCAACCAACTGGGGAACTTTAAACTCCTTCAAATGCCTTAACCTCATGATTCCTCAAGTTATTCATTTCTCACGACTCCTCCAATCCCCCTCAGTCACACATAGAGATGGTCATACCCTTGATCATTCCATCACCCACAAATTACCACTTCTATGTTCATCAACTCTGAAATTCCAGTATCTGATCATAAGCTGTTGTTATTTGACCTCTCTCTCTGCCTTGCAACTCCAAAACCTGTTCTTTGTCCTCACTGTGACTTCTGATACCTTAAGCGTATAGTTGTTTTTTCCCAAGCCATCATTCCTGCACTGGCTACACTCTACTCTCCTCCATATCATGATCACTCAATGAAGCAATTCCACTCTATACTGTCTTCTTCTCTTGATTACTTTGCTACCTTATCCTATTATTGATCATGACTTGCCAAGCCTCATTCCTGGATTACTCTCTGTTCTTCAACTGTTGCTGAAAGAATTCCCCAAAACAAAATCATGAAATCATGCTGACTGGATCCACTACAAATTTATGTTAAATAATCAAATTTGAATCCTCACTGCCTCAAGAGCTTTATCTTTTTCCTCCATTATCTCACATCTCCCAAATGCCTTTTGCCACTATCTCTGCCTTCACCTCTGACTCACATGAAAAGGTACCCTTGTCCTACCCAAGAAAAACCCCTTCACATGCACATGTAATGTCAAACCATTTCATCTTTCCTAGTATATTATGCTCCTTTATTATCCCCAGTATTTCACTTATCTTCAATCTCTCCTTTTCTACTGGAATCTTCACTACTACCTACAAAAATTCTCCTGTCATGGCTAAAAAAAAAAAAAACTAACTCCATCCATCCATCCCAAATATCATCTCATATCTCCCCTCCCTTTTGTGATTAAACTCTTTGAGAAGGCTAACTACAATCAGTGCCTCCACTTTCTTTATTCTTACTCCATTCTTAACACTCTATAGTCTGGCTTTCAATCTTATCATTCAACTGTGTTCTCTCCAAAGTTATCAATGATCTCTTGATTGACAAATCTAATTACCTTTTCTTTCTCCTCATCCTTCTTGACCTCTCTCTAAAACATCAGCATTGTTAATCACTCTTTTCTTCTTGCTATTCTCTTCTCTCTAGGTTTTTATGACACTACACTCTCATGGTTCTCCTCCAACTTGTATGGTCTCTCCTTTTCCATCTCCTTTGTTGAGGAGAATTGACTTCATGCTTGGAAAGCCATCCAATCTGGAAAACACACCCACACCCACACATGCTTCTTGGGACAGAATTCTTTAATAATAAAGTTTTGTTTAACAAGCTGGTAACCCAGCACAAAAGCCACATTTTGTTTTCAATCCACCTCTCCACCCCGTCCCAAACCTCATATACATGTGCTTGCACAAAGACACAATGATAACTCTCTGACATTTTGCCATCTTCTTTCCTAAGTCAATTCACAGTTAAGAAAAAAACAATCAAGCAAAGTGAAATACTTCTGCAAATCCAATGCCCACCTCCCTGGAATGTCTCACTGCTGTATAGTCAGCCTTTTTTAAATGAGGTTTCATAAATATTTTCCCACAAAGCAGTGCTGCATGAAATGGAACAATCTCCCAGTGAATAGATTCAGGAGAAGGACTGGAATAATAAATCCAGTGTCAAGGCTAAAAGTTCCTCACATTCCTTGACTTCTTATGTGTCAAATGTCAATTTTCTTGCACCAATAATGCAAACAAGAGCCTGACCAAAAAAAAAGTCTATAACCTATCAACAAATTATTTTTATATAAGATATCAAAAGGATTTAGTATTCTTCATGCTGAACATATAAGATTTGAAAAATATTGGCTCCAGAATACACGTGATGCAACACACTTTCCTGTTTTTTGGTGGAGAGGGAAGATATGGGTGTCAAATATTGCATGCATAATGTCAAAAGTAATTCTTTGTCTGTTGGTTTTGCTTAACTATTTTTCTTTGTGACATGAGAGGTTTCCATAGGGTGAGGGGAAAATACCAGGAAATGTCTGTGGGGTTTTTTTTATAGGAATAAATAAAAACTTTAAGAAAAAAAATAGGATCTAAGCAGATTGATTTTATAATATTTCTGAGGGAACAAAACAGACAGAAGCTATGGCCAAAGCTACTTTTCTTTCTTTTTCTTCCAGGGAAAAATTTAAACCACTTCTCCTTTTTGCAGTATTGTTGCTATTGCATACATTGTTGTCCTTGTGGTTTGCTTTTTTTTCATTTCTTAAAATATCATATCTAGGCTTTTTTCTTTTTCTTTTTTCATCATGGCTTACAGGTAGTCCAGTGATTCTTAAACTACCTATTCTTTTTTTTTTTTTTTTGTAACTCAACTGGGGCTAAGTGACTTGCCCAGAGTCACACAGCTAGTGAGTGTTAGTGAGGTCAGATTTGAATTCAGGTCCTCCTGACTCCAGGGCCAGTGTTCTATCCACTGCACCACCTAGATGCCCCTTCAACTACCTATTCTTGATTTGTTTTCCAGAGTAGTTATTTTTGCTCTGAAATTTACATTTTCTTCTGGGGTTTTTTTTCAGTCTTATGACTTTGTTTTAATATTTCTTCTTGTCTCGTGGAGTCATTAGCTATAATTTTCAGGGAGTTGTTTTGGTTTTTTTTTTGTCTTGAGTAAAGTTATGTACCTCTTGTTCAAGGCTATTAATTCTCTCTCAAAATCTTTCTTCCATAGGTATAATTTATTTTCTTTTTTTTTTCCCAGTAGCATCCTGTTTCAGAATATAGAGTTAGGCCAAACTGAGGAGGAGACCTGTGCCTACAAGTGGTGTTCTAGGGTAAGGAATAGTCATGGGCTGTGTACTGACTGAGGAACAAATTCAGAAGTAAACAACAGCTGTTTGGTTCTGATCCCAGGAGCCGAGCTCTGTCAGTCTGAACCCGTAGAGCTTCCCAATTGGGTGATAGTAGCCGAATAGAGCAGCAGCCTACTGCTACAAATGTGGCAAACCAACAACCACACAAAACATTCAGCAAGGATTGTAATAGTGCAGAGCCTGTGCAACAGGGAAAGATGAGATCCTAGAGACGTTCAACCTTGTTCAGGCAGCAGAAGCAGTTGCCAACTGGAACTACTAGTTCCAGGTCACAAACAGTGTGGTACTGAGGAGGGAACCTGGGCCTAGGAGTGGTGGTTCAGCGTGCAGAGTCGTCATGGGTACCAGGCTGCATATTGAGCAAGGTACAAGTTCAGAAGCAAGAAGCAGCTATGTAACTCTAACCATAGGAACAGAACAGGCTGTCAGCTACAGCTTTTAGCTCAGTCTGAAGCCTGCAGCAAGATAACCAGGGAAGGGAGTCCAAACAAAATGGGAGGCTGCAGTTCTGTCACTGTTAATCTTCAGGACTTTCCAGATGGCTGATACTGACTGGGTCCAACTCAACTATAGGAACTCCAACCAGGGTCAACCCCACAGGCATGTTAACCCAAACCCAAGTCAAGAACCTACAGAGCTTAGATCAGGAGGGCAGTGATCACACTTTGCCCTGAATCAGATCAATTTGGGAACACTAAAAACTCGTAGGTCTGCAGCCTGAACTGAATGAAAAACACAACATGATACTCCCAAAAAAGAAGCAGCAGGACATAAAAAGATACAAGCTTAGTCCAGACATTCCTTCTAGAATTGTGCAGAGCCCAGCCCTAATAAAAGGTCTGTAGGTAGGAAGTAAAATTTAAGACTAAACAAACACACACAAAAAAAAAAACCTTGCCAAAAAAGTTATTATGATGAAAGGAAAGCTCAAAATACAAAACCAGAAGAGAATAACTCCAAATTATATGCAAGCCAACCTCAGAGCAAAACAAAACTTGGGAACAAGTTCAACAATTCCTACAAAAGATGAAGGAAGAGGTTGGTTTGTTTGTTTAAGAGTTAAAATTATTTTAAAAAGCAAATGAGAGTACAAGAGGGAAACATTGGAAAAGAAATGAGAGCTCTGGAAGAATAATTGGAAAGAGAATTAACAGCTTTGCACAAAAGGTACAGAATCTTACGTAAACAACAAACACCTGGAAAATTAAATGGGTTAAATAGAAGTTAGGAGCATCTAGATGGCACAGTGGGTTGAGTCCTGGGCCTGAAGTCAAGAAGACACATCTCCCTGAGTTCAAATCCAGCCTCAGACACTTACTAGCTATGAGACCCTGGGCAAGTCACTTAATAATGTTTGTCTCAGTTTCCTCATGTGTAAAATGTGCTGAACAAGAAAATGGCAAGGGGCAGCTAGGTGGAGCAGTGGATAGAGCACCGGCCCTGAAGTCAGGAGGACTTGAGTTCAAATCCGGCCTCAGACCAAACACTTGACACGAACTAGATGTGTGACCTTGGGCAAGTCACTTAACCCTGATTGCCTCACTAAAAAAAAAAGAAAGAAAGAAAATGGCAAATCACTTCAATATCTTTGCTAAGAAAACCCCTAACGGGGTCACAAAGAGTGAGACACAACTGAAACAACTAAACAACAACAACAACAAATAGAAGTTTATGACTATATGATATAAGAAATATTAAAGACAAGAAACTAAAAAAATAGAATAACATTCAAACATTCATGGAAAAAAATGAAAAAGTGATTTGGAAAACATTGAGGAGAGATAATTTAAGAATCACTGGACTACTTGAAATGAATGACCAAAAAAAGAGCCTAGAA